CAATAGGGAACGTGTTTTTGGCCGTCATCTTGGATCGGCCATATTGGATATAAATAATTTTTTTAATGTAATGGCAATGTTGTGACACATTATTTTAAACTAGATTTTCACGCCCATTCCATTGCCAAAATGGGTTTTTAAATATCTTTTTTCGTTTTAAAGATATATTCAAACAAAAATTCTCTTGCATACATTTCTTAAGGACATTTCGTATTTTGAAAATTTTTTTAGATTATTTTTTCTTATATCTCCAGTACATATTAACGCTTGCAGTTCGTTCTAGCCTTAAACATTTAGTGATGTAAGGGCTTTCATTTGAGCTATTGATCATTAAAATCTTACGAGTTAGAGACTAGTTACCAACCCCAACAAAATATTAAATTTCACTTTTTAGAAATACATTTTTACTAAAATATTTATATCTCGGGTTCTTAATACGCCACCAAGTTCTTTCTGGTTTCATATTACTCAGTAAATGTTTGGGTTAACTTTTTTAATCACTTAATAAAATGTGACAAATTTAATATGGGTCTGTCTTATTAAAAAATATTTTTTTTTCGAGATTTGTCTTTAGTTTAAGACATATACCCCCAAATCGAAAAATAACTCCCAATGCTCTTTATAATCTTAAAAGATTCATCAAAGTATTGACTTTTACTGTAATTATGGATTATTTATTGGGAGTTATTAGAATTGGGGATATATGTACTTAACTAAAGATAAATTTCAAATGCAAATAATTTAATATTAAATTAAGGTGCATGACTCATTTTTTATTAATTAGTCAGATATTATTTAGTGACTAATAAAATAAAAAAACCTAATTCTCTACTGAGTAATTTGCGACCAGAAAGAACTTGGTGACGTATTAAGAACCCGAGATATAAATCATTTAATAAAAACTGATTTATAAAAAGTTAAATTTAATATTTTGTTGGGATTGGTAGCTTGTCTCTAACTCGTCCAATTTTAATGACCAATAGCTCAAATGAAAGCCCTTATATCATTAATTATTTAAGAATGAACTACTAACTGAAGATAAGAAAATAATCTTAAAAAATTTTCAAAGTACAAAACGTTCAAAACAAAAAAATGTATTTAAAAACGGATTTCGGCAATGGAATATGCGTGAAAATCTAGTATATATAGTAGTAATATGTCACAACACTGTCGTTACAACAACAACAAATTATATCAAATAAGGTGGATCTAAAATAGCGGCCAAAATACGTTTCCAATCGAAATGAAGTACTGACCACCCAATAAATATCGATGTTGGTCCCAAGTCAATATTTAGAAAATTGTGCATAGAAAATGCTTATGGTATCTTTTTTTCAAAATTTGTCCAATGTTGGGAAATTCCGACTCTGCACACCCAAAACTACAACATAAAACCATAAAACGTTTTCTTGTATTGTTTTTAAGGTTATATTCTATACTTCTCGGACTAATAAGAAATTGATTTTTGCTTATTCTCTTTATGATTAAAACTGAGGAACCGAATACGTAGGTTTGCTGCAATGGTAACTGCCAAAAAAGGAATTTTTAGTAAAAAAATATTAAAACAGATAATATGAAGCAGAACAAAAAGTCTTATCCATATAGGTTTCATGAAAAATAATATTAATATTTATGCTTATTCTCCATAAGATTAACATTGAGTTATCTCGGCAAGAAAACATACTAAAGTTATTACTTTCAATATCTCTGTAACAAATTGAAGCAGAACAAAGATTCAATATACTAAATTGTTAGGTTTTTTGTGTTGAATCTAATGGTGAAAAAATAAATTTGAAATTATAACAAACTTTGTACAAAATATTAGAAAAACATATATTTGAGGTAAAAAATCTTATTTTTTAGCACATAATACCCTGAAAATTCATCTTTGGGTTACTTTGTCTGCCTAGTTTTCATATTTAAGGTTGGAAATATAGTTCCACATGTGTTTGCCAATTTTCGTGGAAATCGGCTAATCCTGGAACTATGAGTCGACGAATTTGCAGTCATCTTGTCGATTTGAGGGCCTCACGGCGGCCATCTTGGAAAAACCCGACTTCCGGTTGTCTGATTTTGGTAGACTTTTTTCCTAGTACTTTCTACACCTATTACTACCAAAAACCGTCGAAAAACCATTTGTTGGAATTTGTTCTATCTTAGAGGTTTTTTTGGGCTAAATCGACTCGTCTAGTTATATAGATAGATAATATAACATAGTTTATTGTACTACTAATTACAATATTTTTCCATTAATTTTAAATATTTTAATTAACATTTCCTTTTATTTGATCAAATATGGTTAAACATATTTAAATAATTGTGCACTTGTAAAACCTAGGTTACGGTTTAGTGAAGAAACCCATAACGCCTGTTATGTGGAAAAAAGAAGTACAATCCTCTGGTTTTTTCTCCCTGCTTGGATAAAAGTTTACATTTCCCCTATTAGGAATAGTTTAATTTGTAATATTCACAATGCCTGAGTACACCATATCATCATATTTATCATAATATATACCTTTTTAGCGAATTTCCCTATAGGGAAGTAGCTATTACCGTAGGTAGCACGGTTAGACCTAGACCCGGGACCGATTTACTTTTTCATTTTGATGTCCCCAGAGGCCAAAAACACCATTCGTTCAAATTTTTATATATGTATATATATATATAGACTTATATATATATATAGACTTATATATATATATATGTATATATATATATATATATATATATATATACGTCCGTGAACGCGATAACTTGAGTAATTTTTGTCCGATTTTGATGAAATTTGGTTTAAAGGTGTAAAGCGGGATAAACTTGAATGAGTTCGCGAACCAGCATGATCGGACCATGGGAACGGGGCTTTACGGGGGGTTTTATGGGGTAAAAATTGGTTTTTCTCACTTTTGACCCTCAAAACACAAAATTTCCCGATTTCTCTTTAAACCTTTTTAAAGAGCTTAAAAAAACAAATAATTTAGTATATAAAAGTATTTTTGTTCGATTATTAGTAACGGAGAAAATTAAAAAAATTGTAAATTTAAAATTCCTATGTTATTCTTATGGAGAATATTGTCAAATGTTGTAGTTTGCTTGTTTATGGATATATTTTGATCAAACTTGGCAAATTTATTTATTTTGTACTAAGCTATCAATATTTTACGCAAAAACACACTTTATTAGTTTCCTTGTAGCAGCAAACCTAGGTACTCGTTAAACCTAATGTTATTAAAATATATTTAACTGAAAATCAATTCAGACAAATGGAAGTTCGCTTAGTCGGCAGGTTTGCTGCGGCGGGGGTATTTTTATTTAAATCTGTCACGATCGTAGAAAGTCCTAACCCGAAGTATTGTAATGAAACGAAATACCTGTAGACTAGTGTCCCGGGAGGTGAGGGGATGGGCTATGCACTACGTCTTCACCAAAACAAATATTTGTATTTTTGTCCCAGAAATATTTATTTACATGGTGAAATGGATAGTTGAAATAGGGATGCATTTTAATTGAGAGATCATACAATGAGCTTTGGAATACTAACGTACTTGTTTGTACGAATATAGGTTTACACAAGGTATGCATGTTAACAAGTGTAACATACATTTATTTTTGTCAAAATATGGGTTTAAATATCACAATTTGTGACGGTTAAAACTGAAGTGAAAGGTAAAACTCACACCACAGTTAAACATAGATACTTTATTAGCCAAGATCCCAAAAGTAAGTCTTCAAGCTCAAAACAACAATACAATAAAAACAAACATCAAATATGCAACATATGATAACAATTATAAAAATACCAAACAGCACATCTTCTCTTTTCTCTTTTTTTTTAGTTTATTTATAAAAATCTGAATCACTGTATCTACGAGGTGGTTTTACACTTCTTTTAGGTCTGTCATTTTCATTGCTATTGTAATTATGTCCAGCATCAGTTTCAGTTCCTTGGTCTTCTTGGTATTGGTGTTCAAATCTATTTTCACCATTTTCAATAGGCCTATGCACAGCTATTATATGTCTCCTGTTCCTTCTGATCTTCCCTGCCTGTGTATTTATCAGGTAGGACCGAGGATGATTTGATTTATTCTCAACATGTCCATAACGTTTTAAATCTGGAATCCAAACTTTGTCATTTTGATCAAGCTGTGAGAGATCTCTTACACCTTTCCTTACATCGTAGTTTCTCTTATTTCTTTCCTTGATTGAAAAATCCTTCTCTTTAAACTTTTGCAATCTTTCCCTTGTTACCTGTCTGAAGTTATTTATTGACGGTAATGTTGATCGGAGCTTCCGTGAATAAAGTAACTCTGCAGGTGAAAGACCAGACTCTAAGGGTGTATTTCTATATTCTAACAATCCAAGATTTGGATCACTACATTTCGTTAGAATCCGCTTCGCTATGTCAACTGCTTTTTCTGCTTCTCCGTTTGATTGTGGATACCTTGGGCTTGATGTCACTATACGGAAACCATATTCTTCAGCAAAATTTTTAAAATCCTGAGAAGTAAATTGCGGACCTCCATCAGCTCTTACCACATATGGTACTCCATGTCGAGCAAATATATTTTTCAATCTAGCAACCACAGCCTCAGTAGTCAATGCATCCACATAAACCAGTTCAAGAAATCTAGAATAGTAGTCTTGCACAACTAAATACCATTTCGCATTACATTTCAAAAGGTCAATACCTAAAGACTCCCAGGGATTTTTTGGTAGTTCAGTCAACAGTAAAGGTTCTGATTTGTTACTTCTTTGCTCCAAGCAAACTGGACAATTTGTTACAAGTGTAGCAATATCTGTTGAGCAGCCAGGCCACCACACCGATTCATACACTCGCCTTCGACATTTGACAATTCCCATGTGACCTTCATGTATTTTACTCAGTATTTCCTTTCTCAACGATTTTGGAATAAACAGTCTTGTGCCTAAAAGGAGGAATCCTTTACTGATGTTTAGATCAGTCCTGTACTTCCAATACACCGAATTTTTATTCCAATTGTTATTCACAATCCAGGATTTAATTCTTCCGCATTCCTCATCAGTATCCTGAGCTTCTTTGATTTCCTTGAGCCTTTTGTCAGAACAAGGAATAGCATCTAAAATACTCTGAACAAACAAATCTTGTTCCAATATGTCTTCATGTTCTTCATTTGACTTAATGGGGTTCCTAGACAAAACATCTGGTACATAAAATTCCTTTCCTTTCACATATGTTACTTTATATCTAAAACAAGCCATTCTCATTCTTAACCGCTGAAGTCTTGCCGATAAACTAGCGATTTGTTTACTTCCAAGCACCTGAACTAAAGGTTTATGGTCAGTCATAAGTTCAAACTCGGTTCCTAAAACATACTGTGAAAATCTCTCACATGCCCAAGTCAGTGCCAGTGCCTCCTTTTCTATCTGAGCATAACGCATCTCTGTCGGTGATAAAGATCTCGATGCATAGGTGATTGGTTTCCACTTTCCATCCACAAATTGTTCAATCACCCCTCCTAGGCCAAATGACGAGGCATCAGCTGCAACTCTGGTTTTACGATTTTTGTTGTAGGACACCAGAACTGGATTTGAAGAAATTAGGGATTTTCTTTTGAACGTCAGACCAAACCCACTGATAACCTTTCTTAAGTAAAATTCGCAATGGAGCTGTAACTTCAGCCAAGTTAGGGATAAACTTCATCAAATAATTAACCATGCCAAGAAATTGCCGAAGTTCGTTAACATTATTTGGGGTTTGCATTTTCATAATGGCCTCCACTTTCTCAGGATCAGGCTTTATCAATCCATTTTCAATCAAATGTCCTAGAAATTTAACTCTGTTCACATTAATGTTACATTTATCTTTATTAAGTGTAACATTGTGTTCTCTCAATCTTTGTAATACATTTGCTAGTCGATGGTCATGTTCTTCCTGTGTTCTACCAACCACAAGTATATCATCTGCTTGGTTTACTACCCCATCCAGTCCATCCAAAACTTGGTATATCCTCTTCTGGTAAACCTCTGGGCCAGAATTAATACCGAATGGTAACCTCTTGAAAAAGAATCGCCCGAAAGGAGTTATAAAAGTCGTAAGCTTGTAACTTTCATGATGTAAAGGAACTTGAAGAAATCCATTTGTAGCGTCTAGTAATGAAAATATTTGTCCGCCTTCTAATTTACTTAGGCTTTCTTCTACAGTTGGTAGTTGCCACCTTTCTCTCTGAATGCTTTTGTTGAGTTCGGTATAATCAACACATAGCCTCACTCTATCACCTGTCTTACGCGGTACAACAACAATTGGTGCACACCAGTCTGTTGGTTCTACCACTGGCTCAATTATTCCCTCAGAATGCAGTCGATCCAATTCTTCTTTGACTTTGCTCAATAATGGAGCGGACACTCTACGAGGGGCTGCCACAGCAAACGGACGAGCATTTTGTGTTAGTGCAATTCTGTAGTTTTCCCCTTTCATTTCACCAATAGAACCAAAAACATCAGAAAACTGAGAAAATATTTGGTCAGAGAAAATCTAATCTATGTTGAACTGAATTAGATTTAATTTCAACATTGCATTTCTACTTAAAAGTGGAGTAGGTTGTTGCTCAATGACGTAAATATCTTCTACAATAGATTTATTTCTAAACACTAAAGTAGCAACGATCTTACCAACCACTTTCAACTTAGTTTTCCCCGGACCAAATAATATTTTACTTGTTTCACTCGTTTCCAGTTTTAACTCCTTGCAAAGATCATATCCAATTATAGAAACATCTGCTCCAGTGTCTAACTTAAAATAAATATCATGCCCGTTAACATTAAGTTTTACTTTACAAGGATTTTGTCCTCCAACCTCTTCTATGGTCAATTCCCCTAAATAGGTTTTAGGTTTTTGTAATGGTTCATTACTGTTATTAATTTCTCTCACTTCAAATCCTTTGGTACAACATCTCACATAGTGTCCCTTTATTCCACATCTGAAACATGTAGACTGATTGGCAGGACAATCATTGCTATTGTGATGCCCAACAAATCCACATTTGTTACATTTACCTTTCTTTGAAAAGCTTTGATCTTGACTTTTATTGCAAGAACTGTCCCTAAACCGATGTTTAGTGGATTGATTAATCCCCTTATTGACAAACTCAATTTCTTGTGATTCCCTCACTACTTTTTGTTGTTGTTTTAAACTCTCTGCTTGTCTTGCTTTCAAAATTGCTGTACTTAAGGTTAATTTTTCATCCAACTGTAAATTTTGAGAAAGTTTATCATCATTTACCCCAATTACTATCAAATCTCTAATTAGTTCATCTTTTAATTCCCCAAGTTTACATCGCTCTGCCAGTTTGTGTAAACTATTTATAAAAGAATCAACAGGTTCCCCCTCCGACTGACGTCTTTTTAGAAATTTAGCTCTCTCATATACAATATTGATTTTGAAACCTAGGTAAGACTCAAATCCACCCTTGACAGTGTCATAACTCTGTAATTCTTCATCTTTTAATCCGAAAGATGTTAGAAGGTCTTCTCCTTCATCTCCTAGACAGTATAAAAGCATATTAACTTGATTTTCCCCACTCTTACTGTCTAATCCTGAAGCTAATCTAAACCTTTCAAATTTTCTTATCCATCTAGGCCATTCAGAAGGTTCCCTGAAATTGAAAGGCTCAGGTGTGACAAGTTGGTATTGAACTGTACTAACTGTACTACTCACTGCTTCAGCCATTCTTAGTTCTTTCTTCTCCACAAAAGTTTATTTAACCTGACACCATGAAGTGAAAGGTAAAACTCACACCACAGTTAAACATAGATACTTTATTAGCCAAGATCCCAAAAGTAAGTCTTCAAGCTCAAAACAACAATACAATAAAAACAAACATCAAATATGCAACATATGATAACAATTATAAAAATACCAAACAGCACAAAAACCATAATCTTAAGGCTAAAGTTACTTGAACAATAAACGAAATAGCAACTTGATATCAAATATACTAGCCAACCCTTTTGAAGCATTTGCCGTGTATTATCCTCACATCCACACACCATACTGTTAAGACTGCGTAGTTTGTGTGTTGACGATTTAGGTATTGGTTTTACTTTCGGAATAAATGTGGGTTTATCATTAACTTCATTGAATGAACTTCATAGAATGTTAAGTTACCCGTACTTACATTTTTATACGTCTACATGAACTCTTTGAACACTTTGTTTGAAGATATGTTATGGTATACGATATTTATGTTGATTGTTTTGTTTTAATCAGACATAGTTTTAACTGGAAAAGCGCACCCTTGACAACGCCACAACCAAATAAATGTGTAAAAAATAGGGACAATTAATCTTTTGACATCTTCTGTCCATTGGCTCATTACAGGTACATTTTACGGGAAATTCTTTATTCTTATTCAGTTTGAAAGGATTACGTACTATTCCATACTATACTAGTATACTTATACTCTACAATTCTATACTTCTATCTTTGACAATTAATACAACAATGATTCTAAAGGGTTGGCTATATAAAGGGTTATATCCTTTATATAGCCAACCCTTTCGAATCATTTGCCGTGTATTATCCTCACATCCACACACCATACTGTTAAGACTGCGTAGTTTGTGTGTTGATGATTTAGGTATTGGTTCTACTTTAGGAATAAATGTGGGTTTGTCATTAACCTCAATATAGAATGTTAAGTTACCCGTACTTACATTTTTACATGTCTACATGAACTCTTTGAACACTTTGTTTGAAGAGATGTTATGGTATACGATTTTTATGTTGATTGTTTTGTTTTACTCAGACATAGTTTTAACTAAAAAAGCGCATTCTTGACAACGCCACAACTAACTAAATGTGTAAAAAATAGGAACAATTAATCTTTTGACATCTTCTGTCCATTGGCTCATGACAGGTACATTTTACGGGAAATTCTTTATTCTTAGTCAGTTTGAAAGGATTACGTACTATTCCATACTATACTAGTATACTTATACTCTACATGACAAAAGTTTAACCGGAGTCAGAAAACATATTATGAGAGTCAGCCAAGCTATGATTTTGTATTTGCCTAAGTGAGCTAAAACCAATCTTGAGCCCTGCCGAGCGGTTAGATTTCTGATGAACATGATTATCCATGCTTAGCATGGATAACTTCTTTTTAGCATGGGTTTTATAATAAGGTGACAAACCTGAAAGGCCTTAATTAGTTCAAAGATTCAAATGGATACAACAGAGCCTTTTTCGTCCCTCGGTAAAGAACCGAACCAGAACTTAGATACTCGTTTCCGGTTGGTTACAATGTGACACAACATAACCATTCCCTGTTGTACAGTAGTTCATGTTTTGGAACAATATGGCTTTTAAATAACTTTGGTTGATATTGAGTTAATTGATTCCTGTGTCACTGAAAGCATTACGTTGGATGTTTGGATTTTGTAGTCATAGTAGAACAGTTTTGTAACTGTAATAGATAAGCTGTGAGTGTGTATCCATGAGACGCTAGTGTCTAAAGTGGCATTGTATTTGTCTGTGAAGCAAAGGTTGTGGCTGTGAAGTGACTTCTGTCCACGAAAGTGGCAAAAAGAGTCAGCCCTTTCCGCGTAAAAATATGGCCTAGCGCTATGTGCGCGCAAATACATATTGTACATACTGAAGGTTACACACTGAAGGGATTTCCACATCTTTCAGGACCTCTAATGAAGGATGAAATATAATTTTATTTCGAAACTGAGGTATTTTGAATGGACTACCTCATATGCAATGACTTTCTACTCCTCACCTATGTACCTATAAGCTGTTCCGTTGACAATTCCTCTTGGATGTTGTAGACGTGTGTTGTGGTTTGTTCCTCGATAACAACTGGCTAAGACAGAAGAAAAGCTTTGTTGTTTTACGGTGCTGAAAAAAATTACTTCTGGTAACTACAGCTATAGCTCTTACAATTACGGCATCGTAGCAAACGAGTAATATGCAAATGATGGCAAAAATTCGTGTCAATTATGTTGGCATCTAGTACCCGGCAGCTTCGAGAAGAGTATTTTGTTTCATTAACTGTCATTTGGCGTTTTCGCAGCTTCCTGAAAGGAGTAGCAAAACGTCCCAACCACTGTCCGAAGGTTCTCATGAGACTTGTGCCTCTAATGTAGGAAGTAGTCCTTGCAGATAATATCGTTTGATGTATTGGAGGGATGGTGGTGAACTTTCGTCCAATGCATTTGGTTTTATTCTGGACGTCCAATTGGCAGTTAAATCATTCAGTTTTCAGAGACGAAGTAAACTGGTCGTCATGAAAAAAGTAAAATCTAATTAAGCCAAACAAATATATATAAAATGAAAATAAGACAAAGTTTTTGTGTATATAATTCACCTTATCTATAAACCATTCGATTGAATACCTTAAATCAACATTGACACTAGTAAAACCCGTCAAAATTGACAGTTATTGTTGAGGTATCAAGCAATATTTAACTATAAGTCGTTGATAAATAACTCAGTTTTTTTAACAATTTGGGTTGTTTTTGTTCAGCAGCTTAAGGTACGCCCGATCTTGATAATCAATTACTCAAAAGAAAGCCGGTATTTTACTGGAAGGCCTTAGACCGAAACATATAAGGTAATGTAATCAGAACTGGTGAAAAACATATTTAGTGGAAGTGAGAATTTGGATCATGGCGTCGTCCTATAACCCAGCTACTTGGAGGACACACATTTTAGACATTTATTGGCATAATCTGTTGATGCGATACTTCACCATGCGATAGTATTACGACTACAGTACTATCCTGATAGACCAATGCGTAATTTACAAAGCAAACATTTAATTCAGATTCCACAATACACTTTTGGCATTGGCTGTATGGGTTATTACTTAACCGTTTTGTCTAAGGCACATGTGACTAACAAGACTAAAGGATCACTCCACTCATCCTACACTCACCTCCATTCATATCTTCACACGGTCGCTATTAAACCTAAAAGTGTTTAGTATTATATATTCATTAATTTATCTTTTACATCATAAAACATAAACAAATGATAATGAGTGATGGAGATCTGTGCGTGCATACCTTTAATGTATGACCAAAATTATGAACGTCGGTCTGGCAGAAGAGCCAAACAAACTCGTAAATCAAAACAAAATTAATATTCACAACAGTACAGGAAGGAAGAATCTTTTGTGGGTCACTCGTAATTTTATGTCTGATAATTGAATGCCGATGCTTGATGGATATTCTGTGCGTGCATACCTTTGATTTAAGACCAAAATTATGAAAATTATTCTAGTAGAAGAGCCAAACCGCTTTGGAAAAGTGAAATAATACTTTACGAATGAAATGAGGAACTATTTGGTTTTTGTACCTGTATAAACAGGGTGTCCCGGAGCTCTCTACCAATATTTTAGGGCATTGCTCCTGGGTAAGAAACATACCTAAATATCATATTTAAATTGTCCGGAAGTCCTTAGTTACTCA